TTACGACATGATGTGGATTTCTAAATGCAAAGACATTATTTTCAATCATTTTGATTAAAAAGTACTGAATCAGACTTATTAAGTCAAGTCGAGACCAAAGTCGAGTACAGTTAATTACTGTCGAGATTATATCGAGTTTTGTCAAGTAAAATCAGTTTGTAGTGTAGGACAAGCGTAAAATCGTACAAATAGTGATAAAACACCTGATATCAGATTGGTACATGTAGCATGTCTTATTCTAAAAGATTATTAAAAATTGTAGTCGGTGATGTCACAGAAAAAAATGACGAACTTCTGGTACCGTCAAATGTGTATCAGTGACGCTCAGATCAAAATAGTTATAAAACCTAGCAAGTACAAAGTTAAGAGCATTGAGAATCCAAAATTAAAAAAGTAGGACCAAATACGGCTAAGGTCATGTATGCCTCGGATAAGAAAATCCTTAGTATTTCGAAAATTCATACTTTTGTAAACAAGAAATTTATAAGAATGACCAAGTAATTGATATTAATGTCGACTCCGAAGTGCTGACTACTAAACGTTTAAAAAAATGAGTGGTTTAGATAAACTCATCATATATACCAGGATTAGACTGAAGTGTAGAAACAATATGTACGAAGTAAAATCAAATAATAAAGTGGTCTAATGATAATGTTAAGGTTAATGATAAGTTTAACGACAGGGATCATGTTAAGTACAAGATAACGTGTAAGGATAAGGTTATGTATAAGGTTGAGGGTAATGATAAGGTTAAGGTTAGGTATAAGGTTGAGGGTAATGATAAGGATAAGGTTAAGTATAAGGTTGAGGGTAATGATAAGGATAAGGTTGAGGGTAATGATAAGGATAAGGTTAGGTATAAGGTTGAGGGTAATGATAAGGATAAGGTTAAGTATAAGGTTGAGGGTAATGATAAGGATAAGGTTAGGTATAAGGTTGAGGGTAATGATAAGGATAAGGTTAAGTATAAGGTTGAGGGTAATGATAAGGATAAGGTTAAGGGTAATGATAAGGATAAGGTTAGGTTTAAGGGTAATGATAATGATAAGGTTAAGTATAAGGTTGAGGGTAATGATAAGGATAAGTTTAAGTATAAGGTTAAAGGTAATGATAAGGATAAGGTTAGGTATAAAGTTGAGGGTAATGATAAGAATAAGGATAAGGTTAAGTATAAGATTAAGGGTAATGATAAGGATTAGGTTAAGTAAAAGGTTAAAGGGATTGACAAGGATAAGGTTAAGTATAAGGTTGCGTCTGAGGATGAGGACAAGGATAAGTATAAAATTAGTTTTGAAGATAAAGAGAGGTGTAAAGAGTGAGTGTTGATTAACTTAAGATTATATATATTAATATAGTAGCGGATAAGTTTATAGATTAGTATAAGTCATTGTATGAGGTTAAGATAGTATTTCAGACAAACAAATCATAAATACACAAGGACGAGTATGATAACTCTTTAATATTCCATTTTCAATTCCTTTGCATTATCCTAAAATATAATCGTGTAAAATAAGATGCTTTCTATTTGCAAAAACATATTCATTTTGTTTGGAAGCAATGCATATCTGTATTGTGTAACGAGGACAAAAATGATTGGGTTGAGACTACTATGTAGAAACGATATGTACGAAGATAAATACAATAATACAGTCGATTAAGGTTAATGATAAGTTTAACGGTAAAGATGAGGTTAAGTAAAGGTAACGTCTTAGGATAAGGTTACGTATAAGGTTAAGAGTAATGATAAGGATAAGTTTAAGTATAAGGTTATGGGTAATGATAAGGATAAGTTTAAGTATAAGGTTAAGGGTAATGATAAGGATAAGTTTAAGTATAAGATTAAGGGTATTGATAAGGATAAATTTAAGTATGAGGTTGAGGGTAATGATAAGGATAAGTTTAAGTATAAGGTTAAGGGTAATGATAAGGATTAGGTTAAGTAAAAGGTTAAAGGGTTTGACAAGGATAAGGTTAAGTATAAGTTACGTCTGAGGACAAGGATAAGTATAAAATTAGTTTTGAAGATAAAGAGAGGTGTAAAGAGTGAGTGTTGATAAACTTAAGATTATAGATATTAATATAGTAGCAGATAAGTCTATAGATTAGTATAAGTCATTGTATGAGGGTCAGATAGTATTTCAGACAAACAAATCATAAATACACAAGGACGAGTATGATAACTCTTTAATATTCCATTTACAAAACCTTTGCATTATCTTAAAATATAGTCGTGTAAAATAAGATGCTTTCTACTTGCAAAAACATATTCATTTTGTTGGGAAGCAACGCATATCTGTATTGTGTAACGAGGACAAAAATGATTGGGTTGAGATAACTATGTAGAAACGATATGTACGAAGTAAAATATAATAATACAGTCGTCTGATGATAAGATTAAGGTTAATGATAAGTTTAACGGTAAGGATGAGGTTAAGTACAAGGTAACGTCTAAGGATAAGGTTACGTATAAGGTTAAGGGTAATGATAAGGTTAAGTATAAGATTAAGGGTAATGATAAGGATAAGGTTAAGTAAAAGGTTAAGGGAATTGATAAGGATAAGGTTAAGTATAAGATTGCGTCTGAGGATGTGGATAAGGTTAAGTATAAGTTAGTCTGAGGACAAGGATAAGTATAAAATTAGTTTTGAAGATTAAGAGATGTGTAAAGAGTGAGTGTTGATAACCTTTAGATTATAGATATTAATATAGTAGCAGATAAGTCTATAGATTAGTATAAGTCATTGTATGATTGATTGATTGATTGTTGGTTGCTTAACGTCCAGTGGCAAATATTTCATGCATATTCAGGACGAGAACAAGTTCACAATAAATACAATAGGTAGGATCTGTAATAGATTAAGGGATTAAGGTCGGAGAAATTTAGACTGCCACGGGAAATGAGGGTATATTGGATAGGAACAGAAATTTAGCCTTGCAACAGGTCACCTACGGACCCCTCAAAGAGTTGTTGCAAGGGTTCTTAACGTGCAAAGAGCATGGCACTCTCTTTACACGAGGCATCGGATTTAACGTCCCCATTCTGACCGGACGTGGCTGCAAATTTGTACATCCCGCACAGCCAAACGGACGCCCCACTTTAGCACGGGTTTTACTGCCGGTCGGAGGAAGACCAATGGTGACCATACTTCTATACCCCAGTCACCCTTGGGGTAGTCATTGTATGAGGTTCAGATAGTATTTCAGACAAACAAATCATAAATACACAAGGACGAGTATGATAACTCTTTAATATTCCATTTACAAAACCATTGCATTATTTTAAAATATAGTCGTGTAAAATAAGATGCTTTCTACTTGCAAAACATATTCATTTTGTTGGGAAGCAAGGTTAATGATAAGTTTAACGGTAAGGATGAGGTTAAGTACAAGGTAACATCTAAGAATTAGGTTACGTATAAGGTTAAGGGTAATGATAAGTATAAGGTTAAGTATAAGGTTAAACATGATTGGGTTTAGATTGCAGTGTTGAAACGAGGTAAGGGTTAGGTTAAGAATAAAATTACTTTTGAGATTAACAATAGGATTATGCAGTGGGTGTTGATAAACTTAAGATTAGAATATAATAGCAAATAAGTCTATAGATTATAAGTCATTGTGTAATGTTGAGATAGTAGATCAGACAAACGGACAAGGAACACTCAGAGAAGAGTTTTATTACTCCTCACCTTTGGGTAAGATCTTGTATTCATTTTACAAAACCTGTGCATTATTGCTAAATTTAAGTCGAGTAAAATAAAATGGTTTTGACTTGCAATACAATCCATTTCTCTTGGAAGCAATGCATTTCTGTATTGTGTAAACGATGTAAAATATTATTGGATTAAGCATACGGTGTAGAAACGATATGTACAAAATAAGTACAATATGAGAAGTCGTCACAGAATACGGATTAGGTTAATAATGCAAATAAGGGTAAAGATGACGATACGGTTAAGTAAAAAAAAATACGTCTACGGTTAAATTCAGGGTTAAGTATTATGTTAACCTTCACCCTAACCATAACCCAAGGTGATTTTTTACGATTCCAAACGTAAAACAATGATTAACAATTTTGATTCTATGCAAGTTTTAAACACAATGACTGATTTTATTCTATCTCCTATCTTTTGATTTCCACCTTTTTAAAACATTTTAAACAGCAAACCATGTGTTGTTATGTTATTGATTTGTTGATGACACTATTCAACAAATTGCCTGACACTTTTCGTGTGCCTGAATGTACGTTTGTCCAAAACTGGCTAGTGTACTGTTTATATACACATGCTCCTCAATGTATTTAAACTTTGTTTGATATATAATACCGCTTATTATTCCCTTTTTCAGGTAATTTCCAGAATTTTGCGAGTAGTACCAAGGTTGTAGCCTCAAGAGAGATTAGTAAGTAACGTTTTTCATTATACGATAATTGAAAAGACATTATCCATGAAGGTAGAATAAATAAGGTTTGAATGAATAAACAAATCAATAGAAGTATCTTTATGGGTTCAGTGAAAAGAGAATAGAACACCAGATTTATTATAAAACTACAAGTTTTTATACTCAATTTCATATGTAATCATGTACAAAACCAAATCCAATATTAAAGTCATCTGAGGATAAAGATAAGGTTAAAGCTAAGTATAAGGGTAGGGATAATGTTAAGTATAAGGTTTAGTATAATGTAAAAAGTTAGGGTTAGGGTTTGATTTCAATAACTTTGTCATTCCTTTTTTCAGGTCATTCTAGTATTTTCAGAGTAGTACCAAGGTTGTAGCTTCAAGAGAGATCAGTGAGTAATGTTTTCTCATTATACGAAAAATTAAAAAGACATTATCCATTAAGGTAGAAGCAATACGGTTTAAATGAATAAACAAATCAATAGAAGTATCCTAATTTGTTCAGTGAAAAGAGAATAGAACACCAGATCTATTATAAATCTGCAAGTTGAACATGTACTCATGTACAAAACCAAATCCAATATTAAAGTTATCTTTTTTCAGGTCATTTTCCGAGTAGTACCGAGGTTGTAGCTTCAAGAGAGATTGGTAAGTAATATTTTTTCATTATACTAAAATCAAAAAGGCATTGTCCATGAAGGTAGAATAAATAAGGTTTGAATGCATAAACAAATCAATAGCAGTATCCTTATGGGTTTAGTGAAAAGAGAATAGAACCAGATCTATTATAAATCTGCAAGTTGGACATGTTATCATGTACATAACAAAATCCAATATTAAAGTAGTCTGATGATCAGGATAAGGTTAAGAATAAGGTTACGTCTAAGGATGAAGATGAAGTTAAGGGTAATGAGATGGTTAAGGTTAAGTACACGATTATGTCTGAGGACAAGGTTAAGGATAAGATTACGTCTAAGGACAAAAATTATGATGATTATAAGGTTAAGGTTAATGATTGATAATTATAACATTTCGTCTGACGATAAGGTGAAGTATAAAATTACTTTTGAGGATAAAGAAAAGATTAAGCAGTGAGTGTTGATAAACTTAAGATTATAATATAGTAGAAGTCCAAAGTTGAATATAAGTCATTGTATACGGTTGAAATAGTAAGAAATGTATGATCACTCCACATTTTTGGATAATATCTTGTATTGCATTTACAAAAACTTTGCATTATTTTTAAATAAAAGTCATATAAAATTAGATGCTTTCTACTTGTAATACATATTCATTTATCATGGAAGCAATGCATTTCTGTATTGTGTAAACGTTTGAGTGGGTTAAGATTGCAGTGTAGAAACGATATGTACGAAATAAAATCCAATATTATAAATCACCTAAGGATAAGGATAAGTTTAATAATTAGTTTAAGGATAAGGTTAAGTACAATGTTAGGTCTAAAAGGAGAAGATAAGGAAAGATATAAGGTTAAGGGTAATGATAGGTATAATGTTAAGTATAAGATTATGTCTGAGGGTAAGGTTAAGCATAAAAAAAAATTGAGAATAAAGATATGATTGAGGAATGATTGTTGATAAACGTAAGATAATAATATAGTATCGGATAAGTCCAAAGGATTAGGGTTAGGTCTATAGACAAAATCGGGGTGTAGACTTAGACAGAAGGGTATATTAAGGTTGTGATATGGCTGACGTAGAAATATTTGAGGGTAAGGGTTAGGGTAAGGGTTAGACAGAACTTTTTTTTTCCACAAAATGTATAATTGATCAGGTGGATATGATGGAGCTCTGAATAATGGAATATTTGAACTATCCTTATGCATTCGTTGGATTCGAATCTCATATCGAATTTAGACAAGCTATCATTTTTTGTCAAAATGAAAACCTAGATGTCCTGGACTTTATGTTAAACGGAGAAGAATACATAGCTATTTTTTGTGAGGTCGGCTTTGATGATTTAATAGTTTACTGCCAATTGCACAGTCTTGATTTTGTTTATTTTGTTTTTGACGACGACAATTAAGTAGAAATATTCTTCACATACAATTTGAATGGACTAAGAACAAGGTAAATATGTATATCTTCTGGTGTTAAGATAAGAGACAGAAACACATAAGTCCTAAACAAACTGACAAAACCATGGCAAAACCGATAACCACTTAAAGATTAACAGTAAATCATAAAAGGCTAAATTGATTGATTGATTGTTGGTTGCTTAACGTCCAGTGGCAAATATTTCATGCATATTCAGGACGAGAACAAGTTAACAATAAATACAATAGGTAGGTTCTTTAATAGGGGCTTCCGGGATTAAGGTCGGAGAAATTTAGACTGCCACGGGAAATGAGGGTATATTGGATAGGGACAGAAATTTAGCCTTGTAACAGGTCACATACGGACCCCTCAAAGAGTTGTTGCAAGGGTTCTTAACGTGCAAAGAGCGTGGCACTCTCTTTACACGAGGCATCGGATTTAACGTCCCCATTCTGACCGGACGTGGCTGCAAATTTGTACATCCCGCACAGCCGAAAGGACGCCCCACTTTAGCAAGGGTTTTACTGCCGGTCGGAGGAAGACCAATGATGACCATACTTCTATACCCCAGTCACCCTTGGGGGGCATAAAAGGCTAAATATAAAGAATTTAAAACTAAATAATTTCAAGTCAACCAGGATGCCATTTGTTTGCAATTGATAACAATTTTCAAGAAGCACAAATTTTCTTAAGCATACGTAGAGAAGTAGGTTACGATGAAGGTAAGGAATATGATACGATATGAACAAAATGAAATTGTTACCAAGAGTTTATCTGAGGACAAGGATTAGAGTAATGATATAAATAAGGTCAAGTTTAGGGTAAAGGAACAAGAATAAATTGAAAGAAAAAATAAGTTAATTAAAAACCATTTTTCATAGAACAATTGCGTGTGGATCAGGACAACGTAAACAATAAGATTGTGGATAAGAAATGTTAAAAACGGTAATGATTATTAATGACGTCAGCTTTAACCTATACTGAAAAGCAGTTATGACTGCCAATTTACCTGCCGGTTTTCTAGTTTTACTATTTAATTCACATTATTATCAAGTTCAAACGTTTAGCATAACATTCGGGTATCATTTTGAATACACATACTTTAACGATATTCATATTCTACTTTTTTACTGAGGACATTGAGCTTACTGTCAATCCTGAAATTAGGAATAGAGCCTGGGGTAAATAAAAAATTGGAAAATATTGGCTAGTCAAGCTCATTAGTCGAAAATGAACTGATAATATCATACAATAGCAAAATGAAGAACGACCGAAAAATAAATAACAGCCTACATAGAAAACTGAGATTGAACAACACAAACTTCATTGGTAAAGATGAGTCATCGCAATGTTACAGGAAGGAGTGATGGTATGACTGGGGATACGTTGTACTGCAAGATGTGATCCAGGATAAATTTAAGAATGAATACAGAGTTTAAGGATAAGTCTTAGTTTTAAATGACGAATTAGTCGCTTAAGTTAGGGTTTAAAACAGCGGTAACTTGCTGGCTAAAAGCAATGTAAATTGAAAGTTTGAGTTTTCAAAACAAGAGTTATCACAAGGCAAACCAACGTTTTTCTAATTTTTTCAGATTGAGTCATGGCAAACCCAACTGAAACACAATCAACAGAAAACTACAAAAGTTCTGATGATGAATCAGAAAGTGGTAAGCTATCGAAGTTTTAAAGTCAAAACATATCAATGAGACATGAGATACATTTATTGCCTTTATAAGTATATTGAACAGAAAGTTGAATCTTCGCTTTTACCTCAACCCTAAACCTGAAGTTTTTGAGTTTCAATAGTCTTGTAAAAAATAATTGCATTCATAATATCGAATACCTCCTCCTCCTTTCCTATAATGGAAAATGACGTACTGTATCATCCTAAGAGAGAACGATACATATAATTTTATACGACTAAAACGAATCTTATGTTCTCATAAAAGAGAAGCAAAAGATATCAAAGGGACATTCAAACTCACAAGTCGAAAATAAACTGACAACGCCATGGCTAAAAAAGAAAAAGACAAGCAAAAAATAGTTCACCAAACACAACATAAAAATTGAGGAACACGAAACCCATCAAAAATGTGGGTGATGTTATGTCGTTATTTCATTTTGTCTCTAAAAAAGGCACATATCGGGTGATTCACTACAGTTCAATTATTATTGATTCAATTCTAACATCTATAGGCCACCGACCATTCCTCTTTTGAGGTTGAGGTGGATCATTGACGATCACAAAAAAGATTGGGCTTAGACTGACGTTTAATAACGACATGTTCGAAATAGAATTTGATATTAAAGTAGTTCGAGGATAAGGGTATGGTTAATGAATAGTATAAGTTGTTGTCTATGGATAAAGATTAGGTTAAGTTTAAGGAAAACAATAAGTATAAGTTTTACATTACGGGTTAGTATAAAGATATATCAAAGGATATAAGGTTGTAAGGGTAATGATGGGGATTATGTTTGGTTGAAGGTTATATCTAAGTTTCAGGAGAATGATAGGGATAAGGTTGAATAAAATGTTATAGTGCTAATAAGGTAAAGCTGTAAAATGCGAACTAAAATCTAATTATAAAGTCTGAGGAATGAGGGTGAGGTAAATTATAAAATGCAGATAAGAATACGTTTAGAGATGAGGTTAAGTGATGCTATCAGGGTTAGGCAAATAATTCAAGTAAACGCATCCGGCAAACGCAAATGATCACTCTATGGTTTTGGATAAGATCGTGTTTTCTATTTACGAAGTAATTGTATGATTGCAAAGTTATTAATCACCCATTACGAACAGATAGTCGATGCTCAGGAAAAACAAAGCAAAACATTAAAAACACTCTTGTAAGCTGATAGTTCATATTGATCCATCACCTCTTTCTTTTTTTTTTAGAATGTATATCACTTTCAAACTTAGAACTGATAGTTCAACGGAAGTTTGACAAATTCAAAGAAGAAATTCTCGAGGAAAACAGAAGCGCCCTTTCAGGGCTAATAAACGACAATGAAAAAAAAAGAACGGAAGTGGTGAACTTGAAAAACAAAAACAAAGAGTTGGAAAGAAATCAAATAGAATTACAAAGTGAAATTAACACAATAAAGACAGAAATAGAGAAGAAGGACATGGACACGGATGTTGATGAAAACCAAAATGAATCTCAGAACCAGAATGAAATAGCCTTGTTAGGTGTTACCATCGCAACATACAACATTGAACTGAAAAAAATCAAGAATGACATTGACATGTATAACAAAACTAATGACCAAGCTTTGGAAAATATTAGAAAAGATCTAACCATGTTGAAATCTTCTCAAAAAGATGAGATTGAGAGCTGTCTGAACAATGCAACATTGAGCCACTTCAAAGATTGTAGTGCTAAAGTTGTCTCTGTCGAATTAGTCTTTATGCTCAAATGCTTTACCGAAATGCGTTAAAGCTACAGTACGTAGTCGGGCATAACAATAGATATGCCGGATTCCGGTTTGACGGAAATGAAAAATTCCGACTATTTTCTACAGATTCAGGTGTGACCGGTGATAAAATTGTCCCTTGATCTTTATCTGTGCTACATGACCTAACGCTTCACTGATTTTTGTTTACCTAAACTGTGATTTAAACAGATGATGACGGAAGAGGACAAAGATATTATTATAAAATTTTTTTTTTTAATTTGTTGATGTATGCGACTTTGGTAGTGATTCAGGTGTTTGCGCAAGCTCGGTTTCTCTGCTCTTCATTAGTAAGTAGTCTCCACTGTCTAAAACCTCTCATGTTTCAGTGGTATCTGAGCTACTGCCATACGTAACTGGTCAACGCTCGCCGATACATGTCCATGGACACTTGGTTGTAAAGCAGGAAGCAAAAAATGACCTGGATGACCCATTATTTAACTGTGATATACCATATACTGATTTTAGATCTAATCAAATAATGATCGAAAATAAACTGACAACGCCATGGCTAAAAAAGATTGATTGATTGTTGGTTGCTTAACGTCCAGTGGCAAATATTTCATGCATGTTCAGGACGAGAACAAATTAACAATAAATACAATAGGTAGGTCCTGTAATAAAGGCCGTCCGGGATAAAGGTCGGGGAAATTTGGACTGCCACGGGAAAATGAGGGTATATTGGATAAGGACAGAAATTTAGCCTTGCAACAGGTCACCTACGGACCCCTCAAAGAGTTGTTGCAAGGGTTCTTAACGTGCAAAGAATGTGGCACTCTCTTTACACGAGGCATCGGATTTAACGTCCCCATTCTGACCGGACGTGACTGCGAACTTGTACATCCCGCACAGCCAAACGGACGCCCCACTTTAGCGAGGGTTTTACCGCCGGTCGGAGGAAGACCAATGGTGACCATATTTCTATTCCCCAGTCACCCTTGGGGTGAGGCTAAAAAAGAAAGAGACAAACAGACAAATAATAGTAAACAAGAAACAACATAAAAAACTAGACAACACGCACCCCAACAAAATCTAGGGGTTATCTCAAGTGCTCCGGAAGGGTAAGCAGATCCTGCTCCACATGTGGCACCCGTCGTGTTGCTCATGTTATTACAGACCCGGTAAATAGTCTATTTCGGTAGGTCACATTCGTGAAAAGGGAACGGGATTGTAGTTACGACATAAGGAACATATCCGATATCACCTGGGGGCATCGGTGGCCTAGTGGTCTAAGTAGTTACTACTGTAATCACTAGCCAGTCAACACTGAGGTTGCGAGTTCGAACCCCGCTCGTGCGGGTGCACTCGACTCCAATCTTAATTGACTAGGGTTGTCAGTTTTCCTATCGAAGGTCGGTGGTTTTCTCCGGATTCCTCCACCAATAAAAACTGGCCGCCACGAAATAGACCAAAAGTGGCGTTAAATCACCAACAATCAAAATCAAATCCGATCACCTGTGAAACGGCTATTCCATAACAGTCAACCAACTCGTGATGGCGTCCGTAAAATTAACGAAGGGAAGATGTCAACTTCACCATTTGGAACTATTGATTTAATAGCTTCCTTCTGAGCAGCAACCCTCTATCAATTGTATCAATTGGGAAATACATACTCCGTATCCAGGCGCTGCTTGAATGTTGTTACATAGAAATGGAAGGTTCACAATTTGGAAGCTGAAATCATCTCTTTTTTTATGTCCATTTCTAGAACATTGTTTAATTAAAATTTATTAAAAGAAATAGAAATTAATGGCCGTATGTACATCACAAAATCTACCGATGCATCTAGGAAGTTTTAATGCATGATAGGACCTAGGTTTACAAAAGGTATATGTAGTTTATGTTCCTAACATGGACTAAGCATCAAATGTTATCTACCCCCAAGGGTGACTGGGGAATAGAAGTACGGTCACCATTGGTCTTCCTCCGACCGGCAGTAAAACCCTTGCTAAAGTGGGGCGTCCATTTGGCTGTGCGGGATGTACAAATTTGCAGCCACGTCCGGTCAGAATGGGGACGTTAAATCCGATGCCACGCTCTTTGCACGTTAAGAACCCTTGCAACTACTCTTTGAGGGGTCCGTAGGTGACCTGTTGCAAGGCTAAATTTCTGTCCCTATCCAATATACCCTCATTTTCCCGTGGTAGTCTAAATTTCGCCGACCTTAACCCCGGACGCCCCTATTACAGAACCTATCTTTTGTATTTATTATTATTTTGTTCTCGTCCTGAATATGCATGAAATATTTGCCACTGGACGTTAAGCAACCAACAATCAATCGATTTAATGTTATCTGAAAATGTCCATCGGGGAGAAGACTGTCAGTAGTGTCAGGCGTTTGAAACTTTGGTTGCAGGGTCGTTTATATAGTGGCAAAGATATTACAATTGCTGTGTTTGGAGTGCAGTAAATAACATTCTTGGTTTAACCCCTGACGGAAATTTCCTGTATTAATAGCGGACATAGATTATATCGCACATGAACTATGGCTGAATAGGGCTGGAGATCCAACAGTTCCGCTAACGTTTCCGATACCTGTACTTCGTGACAAGAGAGGAATGTCATAGTGGAGAAGTAATCATGATTCATCCAAATTCTCGAGAATTGGTTATATTCGTCGACAAGACTGCAACGGGTTGTCCTTTCTTCCATAAAAGACAATGAAATCATAAACAATCTGATGGCCTTCGAATAAATAAAGGGATTGCTAATTAGAAAGTTCCACGAAGCACATTCGATTTCAAACATTTAGTTTCAGACAAATCGATTTACAAGTAAACGATATAAAAAAAAAACTTTGTACCAAGTAAAATACAATTTAAAGAAAGTGGTTCAGGAGCAACTATATCTTTTGATACAATTCATTAGTCATTATATAGAGATAAGCTAACTGAACCTGCTTTATTACGTCCGAAAGCATGATACACTATTGAATACTTTATTCATATGATTTGCACCACATGACTTTGGCTCAATGGATATTTACAAAAATGTTGTGCAATTTCCAACATGAAATGCGTTAAATTTGAATTTTACGAAACGGGAAGGATGAAATTATCATGTTTTTAAAGAACTTTGCCGAAAGCTAAAGAAAGCAGGTAATACAAACGTAATTTAACCTGAAAATTCAACCTACAAGGTGTTTCCCTATATGTGGACTAATCATGAACAATATCTTCTTGTGTCTTTATTTCTATTTTGAATCCTGCTTTTTTACGACTTATGTGGAGCCATATTCCCAGATGATCCAAACAGTTACATATGTCAAACACTCAATTGTCAAGAAAAAAGATACAAAGGAAATATTGCTGCTATGGAAAAAGAATATCGTGAACCTAGATGTTCATTTGTAAGTGCAGATGTTGTTTTTCAATTAAAGCATATACTAGAAAGATTAAATAATTGGGAATTAATCAAAGAAGTTAAAAAGTCCGTAAAATCATCTACAGAAAACAACAAACATTACTATCCATTACATGAAGAATGGGCAGCTTCATACAAACCTTTGTAATGCTGGTCGATTTTAAAATGATAAGTGTAGTATTAGTGCTCTAATGAATACAGATGGCATCCCTCTTTACAACTCCTCTAAAGTAAAGTTTTGGCCCATATGTTTAGCCACCAGTACAAAGGTTTTCACGAAATAATATGGCAATCTGGCAAGGAAAAGGTAATCCTCCTTTTGTCCAATATATTTACTCATTTGCCAGTTCATTAAATACTTTATACCAGAAAGGATTTTCAATATCTCCTACAGGATATGATAATTTGAACATTAAACTATATATCATATGTGTTTCAGTGGATTTGCAAGCTAAAGCGTACATAGCTAACATGTCCATGCACAATGGGGATTATGGCTGTTCATTACGTGAAGAACATAGGAAAGTAGTGAAAAAGGGAAAAGATCATGTTCGTTCCTATCCATACCACCCTCCAGAGGACAGACCTGAAGTCAGGAATGCAATAGATATTCTAGAATCATGTCAACAGACAACACCACAGAAAAGGATAAAAGGTGTATGCGGAGTTTCTGAATTGTCAACATTCAGAAACTTTCATATTGTAGAAGGCTTGGTTCCAGACTACATGCATGGGGTGTTATTGGGAGTAACTAAATATGTGATGAAATTATTGTTTTCTGCAACTAATAGCTCAAAACCGTATTTAATTGGTAAACACCTTGATGAAATATGAAGAAGGGTTCAGAAAATGACACCACCAGATTGTATAGAGCGCTTAACTAGAGATTTAGAAAAGCATTGTGCTAATTTTAAAGCCACAGAACTACAATGGTTGCTTTATTAATTAATTCCTTGCTTGAAAGGAATTTTGCCAGATTTATACTTAGAGCATCTTTGTAAGCTATCAGAAAGCATTTTTCTTCTTTTACATAACATTTCAACCACTGATATTGACAGAGCTAAAAATCTCAGTTTCTATCGTGACTTTGAAGATTTGTATGGACACTAGTGCTGTACCTTGAATCTTCACAATGTAGCTAAATGGGGTCCGTTGTGGGCTTGGAGCTG